GGGGGGGGGGGGGAGGGGGGCACAGGGAAATCCCCACTACATCTGAGCACCTCCCAGCCCCCACACATGTTCATTTTCCCTGTGACTAAAAGGACTATTCAGGTGGTTACAAGTAAATGTGGCCCAACACTGAGGATCAGACATGCAGACTCTTTTTTGTTTTTAATTTTTCATCGTATTATAGATATCCCCCATTGCCCCCCCATTGCCCTCCTCCCAGACTGTATTATTCTCTCTCTCCCCCTCATTATGCCCCAGCGTCCAGCATAAGGCACTTATCCCTCAGACAGGAGGGTCAGAGGGCACACAGGGAACTCGAGGGGAGGGTTACTTAGTCAGACACCAGGTCAGGTCTCACAGAGTTTGCTTCTGTGTCACTCTTTTTTCTCCCTGCTCCCCATCAAGAGAAGCTTCTGTTCCAAGGTAAGTGTGGTCCACTGGATTAAGAAACTTGGTACAGAGAGTCCCATCTTCTTTTTAAGGAGCACATTTGAGTGACTTCAAAAAATTTAAAAATCAGTGTCTCTCACCTCCCACCATAAAAATTGGCTCCATCTGCCACTTCCCTGAGTAAGCTCAGAGCACAGCAACCTCCTGGGAAGGGGTTCGGGACCATCCAGGCTCCCAGGTGAAGTGTATTCACTTGCTGGCCGTGAATGCCTGGATCCCTGTGATTGCCCTTCCGAGGATCAAAGCGTGAATGTCGTGAGTACCTGGACAAGATAAATACAAGGTCAGTTTGAAGTCTTAACAGCTCATAACTTCCCTTTAAAGTAAATCTTCATGTTTCCTCCCCAGGCTACTATTTTCGAAGAAGAACAAACGCATAAAGATGGCGAATGCTGACAGCTTCTGAGAGAGTTGCCTCTTACTGATAGCCACCAAGAGAAGGCTCAGAGGCCACCTTTCTGGCTACACTGAGAAAATTGTTTTTCACAGTTCTATAATACATCTTGGCAAAAAGAAGAAAAAAAAAAGAGAAAAAAACTTGTGCCAGACCCAAAGGCAGCGAGTCCAGCCACCACCATGGGCACAGATTTGGTGTCTCCAACATGTGGTAAATTTACTCCATCCCATCCCAGTTCATTAAACGTTTGATTTTCAACTCAGCCATGCTTCCTTTCCACAGAAGTAGAAAGCTTTGATGGGTTCTGGAAACACATCAGGCCCTTTCTCATCCACAGGAGGGATAGGAAAGCAAACATCACTTAATGAGCTACCCTGTCCTGAAACTGCCACCCATGCCCTTGAGTCTGGATAACACTTTACATGCCTTAGTGCTCTTATTTGCTCTTCTTCAGCTTCCAGGGGCAGAAGGCAGAGATTACTACCTCCCTTATATGTAACAAAATGGTTGTTTACTTTCTAAAGTGCACACCTGACCCTTCCCTTCTCCTTCATAAAACCATCTGAAGATCCCCTTTTCTTACCCTCAGGGTCATTCCCACACCTGTAGGATCCCTCCACCCTTCCCTCTTGCATTTTCTGGAATGTCTCATCCAGAATAGTACACAGAAGCTATTTCACCATCTCTGCCTAGGGAGTTCCTACACCTTCAAGGACTCAACCCTACTTTTTTCCGCATCTGTTTTCCCATGAGGCAATGGGTTCTGGGCCCCATTTGTGTCATAACCAGTTGCCAGCTGCAAACACCACAGTGCAAATGGTTCTTTTTTTCTCAACATAATATGGAATGTCCTGTGTGTACTCTCCTTTGCATCACCAGCTCACTGGGCATCATGCCCCACTCTGGGGCTGCCCAAGGAAGCCATCAACAGGCTTGGGAATACCTCTTCTCCAAGCATGATGAAGAAAAGGGCAGAAAGCACCTCATATCCTACCTAGGTCCCAGTGTGAGCCACCCAGATGAGGGATACAGGGTGGGACCTGCCTCGGGTCATGCTGCCAGTGGTGACAGCTGGGAGTAAGACTCAGGTCTGCTGTCCCTGCCCCTCTTCCCCAGACAGTGAGGCCACTATAACCATCCCCATTCCATGAAGGACTCAGCCCCCACCTTCATAGGTGTTCACGGCCTCCAGGTTCATGGCATGCCGGATCACATGATACTCGTCAGAAATCCCATTTCCCCCCAGCATGTCTCGGGCCTGGCGGGCAATGTCCAGGGCCTTCCCACAGTTGTTCCTCTTCAGCAAGGAGACCATTTCCGGGGTGGCCCTGTGAGCAGCACAGAAGTGTAACAACTGTTGATTACAAAGAATTGACCCTGCTCCAGGCACCCCTACACCCTACGCAAACCAGCCAGGGGGAGAATTCCCCATGTTACAGTGAAAGCAGCAGACACCAAGCTCCCAATGAAGGACAAGCAGGGTGGGCCCCTGCCCATCAAGGTCAAGAGAGAGAAAAGGGACCAGGACCCCAAGGGCCACCAGGCAGGAAGGACTCTTCTCCTCAGGGCCAGCAACCATGCCCAGGAGAAGCACAAGGTCCTTCTGCCGCAGCTGTCCCACTCTGCTTCCCCCTACAAGCAGCCCCTACTTGTCTTGATCCTTCAAGCGGCCAAGCTGCAGGCAGGCATGAAGGCCCAATGTGATCTCAGTGAGCATATCTGCCAGCTTCTTCTGAATCAGCTGGTTCCTGGCCAGTGGGACGCCAAACTGTATCCTAGGGAGGCAAGGTCCGGGTAAGTTAAAGAGGGGACCCCAAACCCCAGTCCCGTCCCAGGGCCCCACTGGCCCAGGAAGCCTTTCCAGGCTGCCTTAGCCCCTGCCTAGCTTGCCCTGGCCCTATCATTGACTCAGCACATCACTGCTCAGAAGGACTTCTCTGGCCATTTCACAGAGCAGGGAACTTAGGTCTGGTGGGCAGGGGCTAGGAAGTCATCAGTGGGGCAAAGGATGGAACCTGAGTCCCACCATGCAGCCAGAAGCTCTAAGGTCAGCCCCCACTCACCTGTCCAGGGTGTACTGCCGGGCTGTATGCAAACAGAACTCAGCAGCTCCAAGTGCACCCCAGGCAATGCCATACCGGGCGTTGTTTAGGCAGCCAAAGGGACCCTGTAGGATTGAGAGGGGGCCTCAGCCCCATTGGGAAAGAGCTGAGAGGGTCTGTGCAGACTCAGCTCTGAAACAGGGGGACACCCTCCTCTCAGACACCCAGACACACAGTCCGTGTAAACAGGGGGGGACTCAGGGAGGCCATTTAAATCACACACAGCCCTGGCACCAAAGCTAATGCATGGCAGGCCTTGCTCAGTACCTACTCATCCCTGATTTGCACAGTTCTACCCAGCCCAGGATCTCAATTGGCTGCTCAGGACTAGGAGCTGACATAAGGAGACAGGAAGATGTGCATGCTCCAAAGGATTAAGCTGGTTCAAGCCCAATGTGTCCTGGGCAGAGCCAGTAAGAGCGAGACAGTCACCAGAAAAGGACAGTGCACAGGCACTGTGTCTGTGTGGTCCCCAGCTGGGTCCCCAGCACAGGGCCTGCCCAAGAAAGGTGAATCATCATGTGACTCAATACCAGTTCCCAAGGTGGCTTCTGCTCACCGCCAGCCCAGAGGCATTGGGCAGCACGTTCTCCTCTGGTACCTCCACACCGTCCATGACAATCATACCCGTGGCCGAGGCCCTCAGGGAGAACTTGCCCTCGATCTTGGGGGCCGAGAGGCCCCGCATCCCCTTCTCCAGCAGGAAGCCCCGAATGCAGTTATCTTCACACCGAGCCCATACTACAAACAGGTCAGCCACAGGCGAGTTGGTGATCCTGGGGATGGGACAGGCAGTGAGGGTCTGGCTGCCGCCCCATGCCCCTCTCCACCCACCTGAGGTACCCAGGCCCCTCACCAGGTCTTGGCCCCATTGAGGGTGTAGCTCCTGCTGGATGGGTTGTGGTGGGCTCTGGTCTCCATGCTGCCAGGGTCACTCCCATGGTTGGGTTCTGTGAGCCCAAAGCATCCCAGGAGCTCCCCTTTGGCTGTAGGCATGAGACAGGGTCATGAGGCTGCCTGTCTCTCATTTATACCCTCAACTGAAAAGTGTCACCCTCTCCACTGAGCCAGGCTAAGGCAGATCTGGCCCTGCCCTCACAGCACTTCCAGGTGGTAAAGGGACAAGTCCCTCCTCCCCCTGTCATAGTCACAATGCCATGATGGGGAGGGGACCCCCAGGAGTCAGGAAAAAGTCACCTAAACTATCTTGAAGGACAGTGAAAGCTAAACAGGAAAAGGTGTGGGGAAGAGCAGTCCTGGCAGTAGGAAAAGGATGTGAAAAGGCCCGGTGGTACATTTATTTATTTAAAATATTTTTTTATTGATTTCAAAGAGAGGAAGGGAGCAAGAGAGATAGAAAATCAATGATGAACAATGGTGTGGAGATGGACTGGGGACAGGGGTGGGATGGGGTGGAATGGGTCATTGGGGATAAAAAGGGACATCTGTAGTATTTTAAAGAAAAAAAAGAATTGTCTCGCCCGGCCGGGCGTGGCTCAGTGATCGAATGTCGACCCAGGATCCAGGCGATCTGGGTTCGATTCCCAGTTAGGGCACATGCCCAGGTTGCGGGCTCGATCCTCAGTCGGGGGCATGCAGGAGGCAGCCGATCAATGACTCTCATCAATGATGTTTCTATCTATCCCTCTCCTTTCCTCTCTATGAAATCAATAAAGATATATTAAAAAAAAAAAAAAAAGAATTATAAAAAAAAAAAAAAAAAAAAAAAAAAAAA